ACATTCTATGTACAAGTGAAGGTTTGTGAGATGAATATCTGAATATTTATCGATATGACAAGGACCATGGCAAATACTTAATTTTCCATAATGAAGTAAATGGTGTGTCATTCAATAAAAAAATTCACTCACAAGTGCTATTTAACAATATTTCATATATAATAAAATTTTGTTCCTCATATAGAGCATGATAATGCCTGGATTATCTCATATCCCTTTGAAATATCTTGCGGTGTTGCATGATCTTCATGCCCTAAAAATAGTGCTAGGCAGTTCTAAGAACATCTTGTGGAATTTTAAATAATCTGAATCTAACTGCAACAGATTCATTTCATTCCAGAACTCTTCAATAAGCCCTTTGTGCTCTACAAACAGAAACAGTTGACAGAGAAATGAACTTTCAGATGAAATTGATTTAGTTCTGTTGGAAGACCATTTGTGGAACAATGCTAAGTTGTGCACAATAATAACCCAAACTAACACAATTGTCTCCAAGCTTCTCTATCACAACAGTATTCTAACTTATAGTAACTTATAGTAACTTATAGTAACTGGCTCGCGCTGCCAGTAATTACGCCGCGGGATATTCAGGCCACAGACCGTGATCATAAGACATACCGCAAATAGAAAATAGAATTTAGAAAATAGACATTGCATGTGAACGAAGCCTTATATAAGTTTAATGCATTCCACAAAAAAAGTGATAACATTTGAGTCACATCACACATCTGCATAAATGTCCTACTTTTTCAATTATTGTTTATTACTGGAGGTCATGGTAGTACAAAGCATTAAAAATAATGGGCTCAGTCAAATTTATGCAAAGATTACACATTTTGTGGAAATTATCCACACTGCACTGCAAAACCTCTTTATGGTGAAAGATGAAATTCACAGTTCAAATTAACCTTAATTTAGGTAGTTCTGGCAAATTTTGAATGGTAAATATAAAACAAAACCAAAAAGAAAAAATATTCAAGCAAGTGCTCTATTAATCCTTTCATTAAACTGTCACACTATTACACATACTTGTCAGAAATGAAAATACTAGTCAAGATTCAATGAACAAAAACTTCATCTTTAAAAAGAAACAAAAAGACAAATGAGACACTTTTTTGCTACGTCTTTCTTCTCCTTTTAGATAAAAATGAATAAGCCTCATAAACATATATATTTTTAGACCAAGAATATTATGTTATGAGTAGATCTTCCATTGCAAATTTCAAGTTTCTACCCTACTGTTTATTCTTACAATAATACAAAGTAATGAAAATAAAAATCATTTAATAATTGAAAATAATTTGTTATGAAGATATATTACCTGGTTATTGGTTTTCCTATCTTTCCACTCCTTTAAAGTTTGTATTTTACTAAGTGATGGCCATGAGCAGTGGGCTGTGTTCACATGGTTTAAACTTCTGGTTTTAGTCATTACAACTTTGCCACTGATTGTTCTCAGTCCTAAACCTCCAACCCCTGTGTCTGTGTCAGGCAGAGTTTCCCTTTGCAGCTCTGGATGGCTCTTTGACTGGGTTATAATGTTTGGTATAAATGGCAGCACATGGGAACGCACTGGCGTTAAAGCAGCACGCAATGGAAATAAAAACGCTTCTTCCATTTTGACGGCTTGCAACCTGTGACTAATACTACCTTCATATATCAGAAAAAAATGACTGTCATGGTCCCTTGGCACTTCAGTATTTATATTTGTACACACATACTATATGCTGGTATGTAAAAAATGATGCAACTTTGTTAGGCAGTCTATACTGCAAAAAGGCACCATAATACCCCATTCATTTCAAACACCACAATGAAGATACATCGGTTTCATTAACCCGTCTAGCCTTTTCTGCTTTACCAAAGTCAATTTCCTCTCTCCATTTCTCATCAATATTGCAATCTAAAATTTTCAGATTAATCAGTTACTAAGAGTAGAGTCAACTTTGCCTGATAAACCAGATGAGCCGAGTTAAATATCCAATCAGGTCAAGGCCACATCGGACGAGATGGCTCTGTGTCGACTTCCAGGTTCAATATGTGTTGTTCTCCTCCAGCAGAAGATAGAAACCAGTCAGAGCCATTACCAGTACCAACAGCTATTCACAGTCAATGTAATGTACCTGCATCTCACACTATGTGACAATTATGAAATCATTTTATGCCCTGCACAATATTTTTTCTAGCAAACTAGCAAACTGAAACCAGTGGCAATTCTTTTTTTCTCTTCTGACACCTAGATGAAAAACATTGAAATGAAGGTATTCTTGTCAAAAATTATTTATCTTTCCATCGAATGAACAAATCAATTATTGATTCACAGAACACAAAGTCTGGTGCAAATGGATATGTTGACCCAAAATTGAATAATTTTGCCATGCAGGTAAGAGGTAGGCTCTTAACAAGCTGAACTGCTAGCAATCCAAGGTATCCGCCTCATGCTCTCGTTCAAACTCTTTTTCTAATTTGGGAAAGGAACAAAATCAATTTCAGGCAAAATATGTTCACCATGATAAAGACATGAAGATTTTGATAGTAGTTAAAGAAAATATGTAGAGCAATGTACCATCTGAGATTTTGACTTTTTTGTTGCAAATTTTCAATTCTGGTGTTGAGCATAATGTCAAATTCACAAATCTTTTACGAAAAAATAAGGCACTATTTCATTTCAAAAGCTACTCAATGCTTTTTAAAGCTGCCTCTGGTAAGAAACAAAAATAACCATTTTACCTGGGAATTCTACACAAAAATTACCTGATTAAAGGATGTTTAGTCATTTTTTTATTATCACTGGTAAGTTCACTTGTGTTAATTCAAACAAATCTATCTATAACTCATACTGGTAAAAATTCTCAAACAGATCATCTGACCCAAATCTTTTTATAAACAAAATGACCTCAATGATGAACAATTGTGAGACAAAAGGAACATGATCCTGCAATTAGATAATTAAATCCCACCCTCAATTTAATCTGCTGCCTCCTATTTTTGCTGTAATGATGTATTTTTTTGCTCTATCTCAAGCAATTAGAAACACCAATTAAACAATTTGCAAATGTATAGTAATCAAAGATAAAAAGCTGATGTATCCCTATATTATCAGAGAAAAATGGAAAAACTGAGTTCATGAATAAAAATTAACAAAATGTCAATAGAGGAATAAGATTCAGAGGAAAAGAAGAAAACACAAAAAAAAATGTGGCTTCACAGGCAGGAACTTAAATATTCTGTTGGATCATCCTATATGTGATTCCCCTGGGATCACTTTATTTCTATTTATATCATCAAAAATTTCATCCAGAGTTATTAAGTTTGAATCTCTTTCATACATGTTTAGTTCTCTTTGTTGCAGGCTTCCCAATAAAAACACATTAAAAATGCCAAATAATTGTGAAAACAAACCGCTTCAAAAGAATGATATATGACAAAAACACCAATCATTATCCATTTATATATCAGCATTATGAAAATTGACAAAATAAAAAGTTATCTAGAGTGCACTGAAAAGTAACAGCTTTTCATAGTAAAATCTCCAGTTCAAAGACATCTATCTTATGTCCAGCCATCTTGACAACATTGACTGAAATCCTGTGCCATGAAAGGAAAAGCAATCTGCATATTAAATAGTGGAAACAGTGTGGGAGTTGATGACTTTAATTTTTGCCAGAGATGGGCAAGTACCGTCTTGTTTTCACTGAATATAAGGAAATATTCACTCATTTTAATGAAATGACATGGCCACATTTCAAAGTGAACATACATTTGCCAATTGCCCTCTTTTTAAACGAAATATTACAATTGACTGATGTAAATGTCAAAAGAATTGTAACATGAAAGATAACCCAACTTTACAAAACTTGGTCTACAATATATTAATTGACAGGCACAATTACTTCCTTGAATTATGCATTATCGACACTTTTTTTCAGCACAGGTCTGGGAGGAAAGCATTTTAAATCATTAAGTTGTTTTTAAACGTTCATGCTGACACATCAAAGGTATCCATTTTACAGGCAAATAAAGGCCTACATCAAACTTGCATTATCTTCCAGCCAGCCAGCCTATATCACCATGTATTACTGTCCCACTTCAGTCTGGTAGCATGCACTGGAGTTATCAAGGGTGGTTTACATCTATCCAGACAAACATTTGATCTGGTAATGCAGACATAAGCCAACTCATCTGTGAAATCTGATAGCCTACAAGTACCTCTTTTGCCTTACTTCCTTATCCTTAGCCAGGGTATTACTGACAGCCGTGCTGGTACAGACAGCAAGCTACCTGAGTTACAACATAAAAGACACTATTGATTAATGTGATGTCACTTGTAAGTCATAAATGGCTCTCTTACTAAAATGTTGTCCCTTATGATACAGCTTTCAAAAAACATCAGCTTTGTCATTTCATACAAGAGATAAAACAACATCATTAGAGGCAAAAAGAAAAAGGAAAAAAATCATTTTCACTGTGTTGCAGATTATGCATATCGTGACAATGACAGGTGTTTTTATGTATGCATGTATGCATATGTCCATATGTGTGTGTGTGTATGTAAGCATAGTAAACTAATAATTAACTTTCCATTAACCACCTAATGAGCTGTGTCTAACAGGTGAAAATGCCTACCTGGTCTATTCTGACAGCTGACAGATATGGCACAATGATGACATTTAACTGGAATGGGCAGACCGTATGCAGGAAACAAGGAGCCTGCTTAATGAACCTATTCAACATTCAGCACATGAATATGGTGAAAAAAGGGGTAACTGATCTCCATAACAGAAAAAAATCCTCAAATGTCCACCTTAAAAATCAGAGATAAAGACAGACAACTGCGCCAAGGTGCCAGGTTCTGCGATGATTCTTGTAGCCTCCTGGTGGTTTACAAATATATATAAAAGTTTCTATAACCATATCTTCCTAATATCTGGTGTGACATCTCAGCTGTGACCTCTACAGACCTTTATCTCCCCCAACACCCAATTCCTAAAGCCAAATCACTAGAAATAACTGATGGGGATCGTCTCCACACTGGGGTCACTGTGACTGATAACTGTATGGCATGTTCTCTTCCCACTCGGTGCACATACAAAATTCATAATCTTTTCATCATGCCAGTCCTGGATTACAAAGTTGATAAGTAATTACTTTTATTTCACCAAACACCCCCAAACCCTTCATTCACTTCATTTTTCCCCATCCACAAACACAATGGCTACTTCTTTCCCTTTCTGAGGAATATTTTCAGCCTTGTTTTTTCAATCACACTTATGAGTGCTAAACAAAATTGTTTAGTATCTGCATAGTAGCCACTTTATACAAGAACATTCTTATATCTCCTTCATCTGTTACTTAACCTACAGCTCTCCTCATCTTAGTAACTAAGTAGCAGAACTATTTATGAGTGGAGGAAAATGTCATCAAGAGAGTGATCAGAGACATCATCTAATCTCCTATCACACTGTCATTAAACATGAAACACTGCGAGATTTTTTAATGAAATTTTCTAAACAGAAAAATCTCTTTGAACGCCTACCTCACTCAGGTGGGCACAGACTTGTTCAAATGCTCGGATCCACCTCATCTTGGCTGGATTGGGCATCTGGGGGTTGGTCTCTATATCAAACTGCCCGTGGTAACTTGGGAGTTGGTGATGTGAGCTCGGCTCTCCCATGCTGTCGCTGTATTCCTGTGTGCTCTGCCTGCTCACGTAAGCTGGGGACATCCTACTCCCAGGGGGACTGAAAATAATACAGAAAAAAAAACATCACATGATTGATACGATCGCAACAAAGAGCATGTGCTGATAATAATGATATTTTACTCCATAGGCTTGTTACATTACATTTCGATCATAAAGGCAAACTTTCAGGGGAAAAAATCACCATGGAACTTCCACACAACATCACAAATCAAACAGGGAATAGTCATTTCCAATGCTTCCTTTTTGTTAGTTCAGTGCTGGGAACAGAGGCAAACTATTGAACAATTGAGACATTAACATTTCATAACAAATTGGTATTTATGTAACGCTCTCGGTATAATTAAACATGGGGGACTGACTACATGGTACAATGAAGTCCAAGGCTTGCCACTGTTACGTGTTATCTTCCATCACACAATGCAACGAGTATTGATCTATCAATCAAGGAAATTACAAGCATTTTTCTTAGTAAAACTCAATCATAATGAAAAGAAGTTTGGAAACATTTCTTGGCATTTTTTCATAATGAATCTTTGCATTAGACGTCATGTTGATCCCGAGAGACAGAATGTCACCTCAAAATAATATCACATTGATTAATTCATTTGCAAATATATCACCATCAACAGTAAGGATGTCCAAATTAAATCTTCCCCTGGCTAGCACAAGTAGCAGATCCATTTTATTAGAGTCCATTGACAACAGTCAAATTTCTCCAAGTTTTGTGGGATGTTTACTCATATGTATACAGAAGTTCAGCTAACTATATATCATTACATTATCACAATGGATTTAAGAAAAAAAGTGAAAAATGTTATCTCATTTCTAGAAGTTTAAATTTTACTACATTAAAATACAGTAGGTAAAATGAGCTTTTTTTTTTTTCAAAATTTCAAACAAGTAATGATAGTGGTTTTATCACCAAGTGTTGTCATCATTTCCTAAATATGGAGCTAACGAAAACATCCTTTTGCTTTAGTCACTTGTTAATATTGCCAGAGCAAAATTACATCCTCTAGTGTGTCCAAGTCGCTTTTGTCACCCAATTACTACACATACATGTTTATCTGCATATTAGTACCTTATGAGTCTATAATTATCAAACATGGCACCTCAGACTTAACATGCCAGATAAGGAGGAAATTGTCTAGCTCACTAAACCCTTTCCATGGCCACAATTAAGAACAAGTGGTGGATAATTTACCTAATGTAACAAGTGCTTTGTTGAGGTATATCACTCTCTAATGAAAATGCCTGTCTAGCTTAGTCATTTACTCAAAAGCCGTGTTTCCAGTCTGGCTGGGTTGACATATGTATGTATGACCTTTCTCAATGTTCCAAAAGGTCTCACTACAGACAGTTAGCTGCGGGTTATTAGGGCCCCATTCCCCTACACTTGTCTACATGGATCAATCCATGAAAAACTCCTAGTAATCAGACTGCATGCTAAAACTGTGTTGAGTTATGACACCTTATCTTCTATGGAAACATGTTTAACTTGGGTGCCAATAAATTGCGCAGTACAGGTGACTAACTCAAAAACAAAGGGGATCTGCACTTATTGCATTTGATCTTATATAACAACTTTACAAGCCAATTTTGTAATGTTTTTGTGATGTATCTCTAATTTAAATTTGCACCAAAACATGGCCTTTATTTCTCCCACTGCTCTTCATCGTCAGTGTTTCTGTCTGAAAAATAAATGGTTTGCAAACCATTTTTTGCATATTTCCAAAGTTACATAGATATTCCTTACGCTTAACTTTTCTTCTCTTAAATGTGCATTTTGGTTATCAAAAATAAAGAGTTGTTTTAAAGATTTTTTTGTAAAGAATCTGTGTCTCCAAAGACATCATTTTGTGCCACGGGATATGATCTGAGACCAATTAGTCCACAGGGAAATCTAGTGAGTGTCCTGGGACCACTTGGATATTCTGTACACCAGACTACCTCTGGGACCAGTAGCCAACATTCACACATTAAGACAGCAACATTATTTTGAAACCCAGTCAACTAAATGAGGTTCTATTTATATTTAACAAATGCAAATGCAAAGTTAGGGAAGTATTTTGCTGTTCACAGAAAATTCCACAGAAATGTCAAAGATTACCCTTTTGAACAAACTATTGCACATACTGTTGCACATATGTACATAGTATGTAATATAAATGAAAAAGGAGAAATAGTAACAATACCACTGACTAGACAAAACAATTTCAGTATCAAACCTGTTATCAGCAAAACTATCTCCTCTTTCCAAGTATTCTTCTTCATCATAATATCTGCCCTCATACCTGCAAGAGAAAATGTGAGGCACACTCAGATAATTTCCTGCCAATACTCATGTATAGATAAGCAATCCATGCATTCTTTATCTAAATTGAAATACTTCTATAGTTTTATGATCAAAATACTTACATTGTGTGTATCACTCACACCTGAGGTTCACGATATCACTTGCAGTTTTAAAATGTGTACCATGAAATTATGGCTGAATACGTTTTCTTGATTTCAATTTGGCAAAATGCCAAGTTCCATCATGTTTTAGACTTCAACAACCCATAAGTTCGTAGGGCTTCTTATTAAATCATCAGCAAATTTGACTTGTTGATAGTTTTCAGGAGATGTCAGATATGCTGCCCACCAAGTTGTATTGTGCAGTCATCAAAAGAGAACCTGCCAGTTTTAATGTCTGTCCAAGGACTCATTAATGTTAATTTCATTATCAGATATCATTAGTTCCATTTATTTTGGAAGCAATCAAAAGCATGAATAACCATAATTAATAAGTTTTCAGAAAAGCAGCATTCTGGGAAGGTCTTTAAGTGGAGGTGGAGGAGGGCGGGGATTATTCCTTGACCAGTAGCACACAACATTTAACTCATACTGATGAAAATATTCGATTAACATTTCAATCATCCACATATTAATAAACATCTTAATCTCAACTACAGGCTTTCTCTAACCCCTTTATACTTGTATATCGACCATTTCAATCTCTGCCCAAAATGCTGCCAGTGTCCCTCAATTTAAACCTTTTGAAAATATTATTCAGTAAAAAATTTTCAATTTTCCACATATCAAATGACACTGAAATATCAAAATTGAGATAATGAACATTTAATTTCCTTTCCACTTCAATCAAGTCCACAGAACTCTCCAGACTCTCAATAATATTACTGTATCACAGACACACTAAGTAATAGATGGTCTAGACAGGTATACTTTTAGCAGATCTATACATTCAACTGTACCAACTGACACTTTGTGAAACCCCAGGTGTATACTAGCATTCTCATTCATTACCAGAGTCATTATCCCAAAATTTGTAACAAAAGGGAGCTATTACATATACATATAACAAATTGTAAGTCAGTGCCAAAGCACCTTTTTAGAGCAAAAGCACGATCATTTTTTCCCACCATTTTGTTCACATCCAGTACATACATCCATACAAACCTCACTGTATAATACCAATTGACAACACAACAGCACAGGATGCACATCATTTGTTATCTATCATGTAAAAAAAGTTATTGAAAAAAAATACAATACTCATCCTTGAAAGCCTGCATTAACTTTATTCAACAATTTGCATTTTTGTGTCTATTTGTTATCTATCATGTAAAAAAAAGTCACTGAAAAAAAAAAATAAAATACTCATCCCTGTAAGCCTGCATAGCATAACTTGATTCAACATTTTGCATTTTTGTGTCCTTACTGTACAAAGTGTTCTCTGCACTTACCCATCATAAGCATCATACATAGGCTCCCTATCATAGGGATCTGGGTACACGTTATGAGGTGGTCGGCTGTTGTAGTACAGAGGTTCTGACTCCGTATCACTGCGAGGCTGATGGTACGGACTATCCTGGTAATAATCAGCTTCACGATCATACCCGTTGCAGCCATTGTCGAAGGAGTCGTACCTTCCATTGTATTCCTGGCTATCGTCTCGCTGGAAGGAGTCGTAGCGGTACGGGTACTCGCTCCGAAACTGGTGCGCGGAGGTATTGTGCTGATGCTGCATTGGATAGCTGATGTCACTGGTATAATCGCTGTCTTCAGACATCCCAGCTGGAAAAAGCAAATCATATATGAGAACGAGCTCAGAATATGTACGTATCACTTGATTCACTGCTATCCTAGCCGATTACCACAAGCCTGCAGTGAATCATTCCAGACTTTCTTGGGAATAGTGAGAAGAAAGAATGACCTATAATGTCGAAGAAATCAAAGACTGCAGCCTTACACTAACACAATGTTTGTCATGATAAATTATTCACATCAACAAAGCAACAATAATTTGGTACAAGTAGCAGGCTGTACCTATGAATGTGAATATGATCAATTTTCAAATAATTGTATTGCGGGGGTTGTCTGCATCTTCTCTAACTCATCTTCTTGCCTTTCAATTTCTTTCAGGGAGTATTTTATGCAGCAAAATTGCCATCATGGGGCAAAATGCATCATACAGATACAGCAATCACTTCATTACTTTAAAAATAGTAGGCAACAGTTATCATCTCCACCGAAGGTATTTATATTTTTTTATCTTTCAGAAATGCATCTTACTGACAGCACTTTGAAAAGCCTACAGCTAGATAAAGAAAAGGTTTGTGAAGCACTGTTAAGCTAACTTGGATCCATAAATAACATTCTGTATTACAAAACAAATGTGTCTACATGGTTAATGTTATACTGTAATCGATAGTAAATGTCTAAAGCCAAAGTCCTACCTTATGGCCAATTTAGTCAGAGAAATAATTGACCATCATTATGTGGGCTCAACAGCCAAGTAATCTGATGCACTTAACATAAAGCACTAAAATACAAGTCCAGAGGCTATAATGTGGTAATTAATCACACCGTATTAAATGGTCAATTGGTGACCCATGCAGATGAGATATCATTCATTGATATGCCAGAATGGATCGGATATCAGGAAATTACTCTCTGCTACACTAAGGTAACACCTTTTTTTCACATATTACAAAGTCATCATGTCTGTACATAGAGAACTAGTTACAAAGAGTAGTCCAAGAGCATGGACCTCTGCCGAGGCCAAATGTGAATAACAACAAAATAAAATTTTTAATAATTCGTTAAGAAAGTATCTGGAGACTAAAATTCAGTTGAAATTGCAGTCACTTCTTTCCGTCCTATCAAATTTGTTAACCTAAAAAAATTGCCAAACTTGTGTAAAACTTGGTCATATCCTGTCCACATAAACCAATGCACTGCTTATTAACTATTGAATCTTAAAGGGTAACCACTGAAATTTCACCTATGATAATGTTAAAACTCACCAGATCTTCTGAAATCTTTTGCCCAGCTAATATTTCAATGGTACAAAATGCAAATTAAAGTAGAAAGATCTGTCAAAAACATTGGTCTCAAAATTCTGCTGTTTGTCCCTAACACATTTCCCTAAATATGCCGTCTTTCACAGAGCCTGTGAATTAAGACTTATCACCTGCTCTCAATTTCCTCTAACATTAAATCTGAGAATTTCTAACTGTTAAATGGCAGAAGGTTTAACAAGCCATTTACGTCATATATGCTGCAACTTGCAAATGATGTCATTTGTTAACGGTTTTTCCAGGAAAAAGATGCTTGTCAAAAATTGACAAAGCTGTGCATATTAAATGTGAAAAAGTAGTATTGTAAAAACACTGCTGAAGATTCTTTGAAGACATGTACTGAGCATTTGGGTCCAAATACATGTGACAAAATCCACAAAAGATAAGATGTTTTTCCTTCTTACAAAATGTAGGTGCTGATTCTGAAATATGATGGCATACTTAATGTGTACCTGCCTTAATAATAAATATATCAAAACATTTATATTATCTGACTTCAATCCCTCCAGTTTGCTAAAATACAACTATTTTATGAGAGAACAGTTTCATTAGCTCTGTATGTATAAATTCAAATTACTGTTTTTCTTTTTATCAAGAGCTTGTAAAATATTGGAGGTAATACCCACATATTTTACAAGCTCTTGATAAAAAGAAAAACAGTAATTTGAACAACTATTTTAAATTTGTTTCTTTGGCATCCAATGTCATGATCATATTCAACTTGTCTGACCTACCAAGAGTTAACTACATGTAATCAAAATGGCCATCAAAAATCCAGGCAGCCATCATGGCATAAGTCTTGTTATAGATTAACATGACGATTGTACCATGTGACTACTGCTGGTAAATTTACACATTTTCATAGAGTTCCACTAGACAATTATTATAAAAACTAAAATTAAAATGAAAATCCAGTAAAAATTGTTTCTTACGCTGTGAAACAAAGATAATGAAAAACACAAGCAAACAACTTTGTAATAAGACCTACAAATTAAACACATTAAATGCATAATAAATTATTATTGAATATTACTTATTGGGATTCATTTGTAATTGGAATAAAGAAACAAGTGGCATTCATTTTTATGACTCCTTTATCAGTGAAAGGATCCCTTTTTTCAAAGCTGCAGATTCAAAGTAAGAACAGCAACAGATGAAAACAAAATTAAGAATAATCCATTATAGCTGAAAATTAAGAAAGCACCTCATCAGTGCCGATCAAATCAAAGTTAATTGGAATCCATGTAACAGAGACTCTAAGAGAGTGTGATGCACTGAGCTATAGGACAGACATGAGTGCCCGAGAAATATGATACTGGAGCTATAAAGCAGAATACAAGGAGGCACTGGGACAGCAACAATCATGATTACTACATCATTTTATTTGATGGATGTTGAGAAAATCCCAATTGGCTAATGTGATTAGTAACCAAGCCCAGTGAATGTGAAGATATATGGCAGAGAGGATGTTTTCCCCGTTAACAGGATATAGAGTGGGTTCCTTATTAAGACAAGATGTCACAGGAGACCCTCTATCCTCTACAGAAAAATTAGCAAAAACTTGATAAACATTTGCTCTCCAAGGAAGCCATGTGCTGGAAAGAAATTAACATAATAAGAAATGAAGGCAATGGGATTTTGAAAATTTTTGATCAAAAGATTGGAATGGAAGGTAATTTTGTCAAACATCAAAGATGCAAGTGGAAGAAAAGGCTTTTTGTCATCGAGCATTAAGTTTGCTCCCATTTTATGAAGTGATTTCTCTTCTTTAGAATATTTTGCTTTGCAAAAAGAGAATTAATAAAGCTTACATGAAAAGTAAACTTTGATCTCAGACTTAAAGCATCCAGTTTAGGTTTGGATGGGAAAAACATTCAATATGCTAGGATTGATTTTTCCCAAAGAAATTAATTAGTTTTGTAACATGTTAGTCGAGCATGGGACAAAAATGTTCAGTAACTCGTATGTATAGCCCTTTGAGGTTACACAATTTCAATTTGGGCTAAAATACATAATTGAATTCTGTGGAAAGAAATAATTAACGTTTCAATTTGTCTAAAAATTGAATACACTGACATTTCAACAAGCACATTCAGATAAATGTGCTTGTAGCTTCACTAGTAATATCTCCTCTTTCAAAAATTTTACATAATGGCTGTCTCTTTATCTTGTATATTGTTCTCAGTGAAAGTTAAAGTTGGGTAAAACCTTATTACATTATATGAACTATAAACCATGTGAATTTAGATCACATACTTGACTTGGTAGGTAAATGAAGAATAAAATGTTGATCTTCTTTGGTGTCATATGAAAATTTCAAAAATTGTCAAAGGTCATCACAATGGCATAATCAACTAAATCAATGTCATATTTGAGTCACTGCTGTTATGCAATAATTTTCATGGATATGATAACAATTGCTTCTATGGTAAATGTCTGAGATATATGTCACTGCTAGTGTTATATTTATAAACTTTAGCAATGCAGGTTACAATAATGCAGGTGGCATTTGAATTCATAGTATTAACATCCACTACATTTATGGGGATGAAAATGCTGTAGAATGAATATACGTATATTTATATTCATAAGCCGAAGAACACTTTCAACAACAATCGTATTAAGCTTTTTTCTTACATTTGCTACATATAAATAATAAAAAATAAACTTTTCTAATATAAGTAGCCAACATTTACTACACTTGATTAAGCAGGGCAAAACCTTGCAGTAGGACTGATCATAAAAGAAAAATTAAAGTAAACCATGCACAAAAGTTGATAAATGTTCATTGTACATGTATCTCACAATGGACCACAACATCAATATGACTAATATTCATTCACTACAAGGAATGAGGACTGTTAAAGGGATAATTTCAAATGAACAAACTGTAATTTTCAATATACAATTTTATAATCAACTGCAATTTCCACTCTGTAATTTAACAATAAAAGTGTTCCAAGCTACAGTATGCAATTGCAAGATACATTCTTTTTTTTTGGTGCAAATCCCAAAGACAAAAACTCAAAGTTTGTAAAACCAGTCAACTATCAATTCATTTTACTCTACTTTTCGGCAATGCCCCCAAAAGTTAATTTCATAGATATCAGTAAAAAGTGTTCATTAAACAGGAGAAATTCTGTCAAAATAGGGGTTCATTACTGATGAAGTACAAGGTTGCTAATTAACATGCGTAATAAAAGATATGAAAATAACGTAAGAGGCAAAAGGAAATTCACTTAACTTTTTAGATTGCATGGTCCATTGTGAAGACCTACAATTTTAAGATATAAAAGTAAACAGTTGCAAAGCTGAACACCATGCTGTTAAATTTCTACATTTATATACTACGTTACAATGTGTTTGTGTTAAATGTCTAATCTATTAAAAAATGGAACATTAAAAAGTTCAGATGTAAGTATAAAACTTACAGCAACAAAAGATATTGGAGTAGTTTTATTATGCCTCACTTTGCTAATAAAATCTGAATCAAATGAAAAGATCTTCAGATTTTGTCTACGATACAACTGATGCACTAAAACTGTATGGTGGTTATCAAACCCACCCCCATTGGTCTAAAAATTCTTGATCACCTTGTTATACACATACTTCATGTTGATTTTACCATTATGTTTCATACATTTATTTCTTGCAACTTCTTTTTATGCAGTGTGACAAGGACTTCATCACCAAAACGCTCGTGTGGACCATTTCGTTTGTGGAGGGTGTGTATGAGAGGAGTGTGGAGAGAGAGAGAGGGGGAGAGAGAGAGAGAGAGAGAGAGAATAACTGAGTCTTTTTAGATTGTTTTTATAGCTATATTTGTTGGGGGGGGGGGGGGGGTTTAATCTCCAATAATCTCATTTTGTCACCATTTAAAAATTTCACATATCTTAGGAAAATACTCCAAAGCAAAGACGGGGATTAAAAAACATTAGCAAGCCAAGCAGAATTAAATCATATCAAAACCTTTTGCAGATAGTCAATATTTGTTATGATTATGATTATTTTGATTAGTTTGTACCTAAACAGACATAATATTAAGAACTGTGTACAAAGCTTGCCTGTCAGGGGAAAGGGAAATTTCCTACATGAAGTAAAAACTCACAGCAACACTAGTGCTAATCAATACATGTAACATGACATTTCAAATCATAAAAATGAAACAAATAAACATATTCACCAAATCTCACTAGATTCCTCAAGTTTAAAAAAAAGCCAATAGGTCTAAAATAGCCCATAATGCTGAAGGTACTTACATACTGATCTTGATCCTGGTCCTCTTCTGTGGTGCTGTTCCTTAAGGGTCATCATCTGAAACAAGGAATATGGAAGTGACAGGCTGCTATCTACTCAATGTAGATGTCTTTACAATGCAAAAATCAATCCTAATGTTGTGTGCGAAAAATGCATCATAGTAATAACACCATATACTTATGGATAATTACATAGTATTACCCAATGCAATACGTGCATCAAGACCCGGGTTAGATACCACATTTTCTCTAGTCTAGACTTTGTTTAAAGAAACTGAAAATTACTTTCATCAATTTTTCATTAACTACAAAAGTAATTTGACTGCAGCAAAGAACATGCTAGCATGGATCTAAGATCTGGACTTTCTAAATCAGGCTGGCAACACACAGACTAGATAACAATTCATCTAGAAGCAGATATTAAAGAATCTGTCTGACCACCATGTATACACTTCTGTTAACACTACATGTATCACAGAGATACAAATGGACTTAAAACTGATGTGCCATAATCTGAACTTTCAATATACACTTCACTTCAGGTATTGTTTTGTGATCACCAAGTTGCATGACGTGCATACATATTTTTGCTTATTAGCTGCCATGTTTTTATCAATCACAGGGATGTCAATCGTTGTATTGTGATATGGATTCATCTGATGCTACGGAATACGACACCACTACAGCATTTGGGCTTTGCTATTAGCAGAACTGTATGCAGTGATAACATGAGTTGGTCTATAACATTGTACAGTATTGAGCAATACAGCATTATCCTAAAGTATCAGCTAATGCATAAAAAACTATACTTTATACAATATCTGGTAGTAATCTTAGTACTGATTGTTACTTTCCTCTACCATATCTATATACACTTGTAATTATAACATGTTTGCTCTCCATTTCAAGGTGTGTGTGTGTGTGTGGGGGGGGGGG